TAAGGCTAAGGCTAAGGCTAAGGCTAAGGCTAAGGCTAAGGCTAAGGCTAAGGCTAAGGCTAAGGCTAAGGCTAAGGCTAAGGCTAAGGCTAAGGCTAAGGCTAAGGCTAAGGCTAAGGCTAAGGCTAAGGCTAAGGCTAAGGCTAAGGCTAAGGCTAAGGCTAAGGCTAAGGCTAAGGCTAAGGCTAAGGCTAAGGCTAAGGCTAAGGCTAAGGCTAAGGCTAAGGCTAAGGCTAAGGCTAAGGCTAAGGCTAAGGCTAAGGCTAAGGCTAAGGCTAAGGCTAAGGCTAAGGCTAAGGCTAAGGCTAAGGCTAAGGCTAAGGCTAAGGCTAAGGCTAAGGCTAAGGCTAAGGCTAAGGCTAAGGCTAAGGCTAAGGCTAAGGCTAAGGCTAAGGCTAAGGCTAAGGCTAAGGCTAAGGCTAAGGCTAAGGCTAAGGCTAAGGCTAAGGCTAAGGCTAAGGCTAAGGCTAAGGCTAAGGCTAAGGCTAAGGCTAAGGCTAAGGCTAAGGCTAAGGCTAAGGCTAAGGCTAAGGCTAAGGCTAAGGCTAAGGCTAAGGCTAAGGCTAAGGCTAAGGCCTGAGGGCTCTGTAGAGTAGCTATCTGGAGATATGCGCTAAACAATACTCAGCAGAGGGAAGGGATCAGAGTGAGTGTTAAATAGTGAGGGAGTGATATGAAACAGCTGGGTGCAATCAGTGTAAACAGCTGTGTGCAATCTGTGCTGAGTGCAATCAGTGCAATGAATGATGGGATATGTAGACATCTGATCTACAGGGTGATGTGCAACAGTGTGTAGTGCGAGAGTCAATGAAATCGGAAAGGGTGACCTCTGATGGCTAGCAGATGGAAGTTCATGGACCGGATTCGTGACAATTAACACAAGCTAAAGACATTTTAATGTTTTATTGTATAAAATACCTCAGTAATACCACCTTGCGTTTTTTTAAAGCGTTTACTTGTCTTGAAAAAGACAACTTGTTAAAAAGTGGTTAAATGGGACTACAGAGGTTGTCACGGACGAACAGGTAAACTTCTACTACTTCGATTTTACAGCCTTATTGTGCTTACAATCACACTTTTGCAAACTATTCTAACTCAATCTCTTAGGGAAAATTCTTCAAAAAAAAATTTAAGACAAAGATTTGTCAGAAGCTTAATGGTGGTGATGTTCAAATCATGCGACCGTGGTGTAGTTCGTATATAGCTTAAGCTTAAAAGTTTAAAAATTCATAAATGTTGTGTTCATATGTGAACATTATCATGATGAACAAAATGTGTAAGAATCATAAACATTGTCACAGAACTTATTTTTGCAATAATCCAAAAGCCAATGGAACAATCCTACTGTTTTTTTTTTGTTTTTTTTGCTAACTTCAGGACTGACCTATAAAGATATGTCACCACTGCAGCACTCTATGGAGGTATTAGATTATCAGACAACATCATCATGTGCCCGAAAAATACTGTAAAGGCTTTAAGACCAAACCAATGGTTGAAACAATGGATAAATCTATGTAGCCTTTGAAATTCATCCAATCAAATTACAAAGCCAGAGCTATCCGTTTTATAAATAAAAATGACTTTAGCAAGTAAGACACACTCAAACAAGGGCACAACAAGCAAACATAAATATAGACCCTTTAGCAAGTAACTAATGACTTACATGCTTGCTATTCCAAGTCATTCTGTTCACTAACGTCTAAAGTTTCCTCACTGGAGAAAACATTCCAGAGGCCCAGGCTGAATGACAGGAAGACGAAAGAAGATCAGAGCCAACATGATGAAATTACTCAGGGAAGAATAGACCTGACAGCCGTTCAAGGGCATGGCATTAACCTTTTAGCAGTGCCAGGGGCTTTCCTCGATTTACTATGATATTTTTACTAAATATACCAGTGTATATTTGCTCCTTTATATATGAGAGATCTGCCATTGTAATTCAAATTATCTATGCAAAGATGAACCCTGTTCAAAGAATATGAAATGTTGGTATTGGCATATGAAGATGGCAGATTCATGTTTTTTTTTCATATACACTTCCGTTTAAAAGTTTGGGGTCAGTAATATTTAATTTAATGTTTTGAAAGAAGTCTCTTATGCTCATCAATTTGATCAATTATTTGATCAAAAATACATCAATATTGTGAAAAATATTACAATTTAAAATAACTTGTTCTATTTTAATATATCTTAAAATTTATTTAATTCCTGTGAAGGCAAAGTTGAATTTTCAGCAGCCCTTACTCAAGTCTTCACTGTCACATGATTCTCCAGAAAACATTGTAATATGCCAATCGGCTGCTCAGTTATTATCAATTATTATTAATGCTCAGTTAATAATGCTTCTTAATATTGTCAATGTTTTTTTAAAGGTTTATGCTGCTTTTTGTGGAAACCATGATACATTTATTTTCAAGATTATTTGATGGATATAAAGTTATAATATAATGTAATGCACTAAAATCCTTAACTAGATCTAATCAATCAGAATTCCTCAGAAGTCTTTTTGAGCAGAAATGTACAGTATTTAAACACACACACACACACACACACACACACACTTGCACAAATTAATGTAGACAGACATGAGGACCTATAAAAACTTTGTGTGCCTTTTGGTCCTGAGGGAGAGCCAAGTAGGTCAGAATAACTGAGACCCAGTAGGAAGTACAAAGCGGCATCCCTTCATACTGAGATGTATGTCACTCCTATTTTCCATATCTGTCTATACCACAAAACCCCCTCCTTAAACACACACACACACACACACACACACACACACACACACACATACTTTACCCTCATATTTTGTCATTCCCTTTTTCATTGTCTCTCTGATAATATTCCAGCACAGTCACCTCACCTTCCCTGTGACCGGACTGTTTCCTGTACATATGTGTTTTATATAACTCAAATGCAGCTATATGCCAGAATATAACCAATGATAACCAACATCACAGGAAAGGCCTGTTTCACACTACATGCTCATAGCAGCAAATATTTATTTTGCCTGTAAAGTTTCACTATTTGAGCCTATTTTTCCAAGTGTGCTGAATGCAGCAGAAAATACATTGAAAACACTATAACCAATTTTATTAACACATTTCACATTATTGGCTTTTATAAAGAAACACAAAATAACAGAGTCATCTACTTGACTTTTCACAGAAATACATCTATCTGCCTTCATTACGTTTAAACATTGACAGGCACCCGAACACCGCAAATCAGTAAATCAGAGTCAATCCAAATCATTTAAGAAGATTATAGAGTTCGGGTTCCATTGTAAATGAATTACTATTTGGATGTAAATGTGATCCACCTTGCTACAATCACATTTGTAATAATAATTCTCAACTACACACACCTAATACTCATTGTGGGTAACTAAAAATCCCTTTAGTTTCTGTATAAAGCGGCAGCTCTTTTATGCAGCAGAAACACAGTCAGTGTGAAAGCACAATGTGAGCCTGCTATGGCAGTTAAGCTGCAGCACCACTTGTGTGCCGTTTATGCATGCGGTGTGAAACAGCATGAACCACATCTGGGACTTGCTTTTTACAATTGAGCTAGCAGGCAAGCAGACTGGAGGCTAAAATACACAAATGTGAAGCTTGTAATTTTGATAAAGGACTATATACATGAATAATATTCGTTAGTTGAGCTGTAAATGACTCTAAATTGTCCTTTTGAGGTGGGGCTTCTTTGCTTTAATCTGTCAAAACACTGGGTACTTCACAAATGAACTACTCTGGCAGCACATAACATTCAATAAATATAATGCATTTTTCTATTTTCTGGAGCATGTCACTGTCTGAAAAATCCCTGTTATCCTCTTTACTCTGTTAACTATGCCTGTGTGTTCGCTGAGCTGCGGTCAGGATGACGCCCTCACCCCATCACATACAGTCTCATCATATACATTCTGCACAAATGCATATGCAGTGCAGCATTAAAAACCACAAGAATGTTTGTATTTGTGCATCTACACTGTATGTATACAATGATGTGCATGTGAAATTGGTTTGCAACATTGCAATGAGTGAAATAAGGATAAGAAAATTACATAATATATATACACGTACATATATCATTAAAATATCAACTTACAGTTCAAAAGTTTCGGGTCAGCAAGACTTTTTAATGTTTATAATAGAAGTCACTTAGATTCACCAAGATTGCATTTATTTGATCACAATACAGTAAAAGAGTAATATTGTGAAATATTATTACAATTTAAATAACTATTTTCTATTTTAATATATTTAAAAATACATATTATTCTGTGATGGCAAAGATGAATTTTCAGCAGTTATTACTCCAGTCTTCAGTGTCACGTGATCTTTCTGAAATCAGTATAATATGCAGATTTTTTGCTCAATAAATATTTTTTATTTTTATTTATTTATTAAAACATCTGTACTGCCTAATATTTTTATGTAAACCAAGATAAAAAAAATTCAGGATTCTATGATGAATAGAAATTTTAACAGAACGTCGTTTATTTGAAATAGAATCTGATCAACTAAATGATCAACTTCACGCATCATTGATGAAAAAAGTAACAATTTCCTTACTGACTCCAAATTTTTGAACGGTAGTGTAATATTAATGTAATATTTATTGTATAAAAATATAATAGGTATTTTATAAAATATTGATATTATACAGAATATCAATATTTGATATAATATTGATTATATTATTAACTTTAAATCTGGAGACTGGTTTACACGTAAAAAGTAACATGCTTTGATTTGCTAAAATATTTTTTAAATTAAAATAATAATTCCAATATGACCATTTCATTTTTCCTTTAACAACCAAACGTCACAGTCCCCAGCTCCCAGCCCTCTGTTGCTTTACTCTAATCCTTGTCAGTCTGCATAGAGTGTTTTCCGAGAAGGTGTTTTATTCAAGCAACTCACAGGTTCAGTTCCCCTGGAGTAACAGTGAATCTACATCAATGGCCCTCAAAATCTATTCAGGGTCTGACTCACCTGGGCGTCTGTGGGGGCGGAGCTCTGATCCGGCTGTTGTGGCTGAGCTGGCGATGCACTGATGGTGACATTTTTGTCTGAGCGGCTGCTGCTGTCTCGGCTGTGTGATTTGTGCCGATCCCTGCTGCTGCGTTCACTGCACGAGAGAGACACACACAGCGACGGAGGTGAGGGAAACGCTGTTGCCATGGCGATAGGAGCAGGGGAAACACACTCAGATTAATGACAGGATAACCACCATCATCATTTTCCCTCCTCATCCTCTCACGCTTTCTCTAGCACTGTCTCGCACATGCCCTAACTGGAGCATCTGGTGCAAACTGGGTTAGATGCAGTGAGCTGTGACGACCCTAATCCAAACACAGCGTTCTCTCTCTCTCTCGCTCAGTCTTTTTAGTCATCATAGTTAATGCCTGGCAAGCCTTAGAACAAAACAAACGAGATAAACAAACAAATACAGCACTCCTGCACACACACACACACGCTCAAACACACTTACTATCAAACAGCATCAGACGTCTCGCTCTGAGTAATTATTGACATCAGCAAATAACTCTGCAAATATCTGCAAAGACAGCCTTTGTGCTCACTCTGTCTCTGTGTGTTTAATATTATACAGCTTTCACAAGGAAGCATGAAAATGACATTGTTACAGTGACTGATGACAAACTAGCTCTGTTTCACAACCAAGTGTCTACTACCTTCCATTGATTTCTATAGTATTTTTCCATACTATGGAAGCCAGTGTGGACCAGCAAATGTTTGGTTACCAACATTATTCAAAATATCTTATTTTGTGTTAAGCAGAATAAAGAAACTAATACAGGTTTGGAACAACATGAGGCTGAGTTATTGATGACAGAATTTCCAGTTTTGAGTGAACTATACCAGTGGTTTGTCACCTGGTTTAGCCAATTATTCACTGCAAAAAAAAAAAAAAAAATTAATAAACCTGATTTATGCATCATGACACAAAAACTGATAAGACTATTTATTTTAAACGATCATAAAAAATAAAAAAAATAAAAATAAAAAAACCACAATCAGTGTTGTGTTACTTTTATTGATTATTACAGTTTTTCAATAGTTTGATTTAGACATTTTTTTAAATATTTTCTACTTTCATTTTAATTTGTAATTTTGTTTTGCTTTTGTAATTTTTAAATATGCCTATGTAATTTTTAGTTTTACATTTTAGTTGCATTGTCATTGTCATTGACACACACATATATATATATATATATATATATATATATATAGTTGCATTTAGTAAGTACAAGCAAGCAGTTTTTCTATGCAGTCCATGACCCTGTCAGAACAGATGTGCAACCCCTTTTGAGTTCACGACCCACTACTCAACTACAGTTTTCTAAAGTAACTCTGTTATCATGTCATCATGTCAATAGTCATTTGACTACAGAGAAGTCAGTTATTTCGGATAGTTTAAATGAACATTTTATATCCTCTGGCTCTCTATTTGAAGCTCAGTCACAAAATAGTTCTACGATAAATTCTCTTATTGTACCTTCAACTGAGATTCCATGTAAATTAAGAAAAAAAATTATTTTAACCAGCTCTGTTTTTTTTTTTTTTTTTTGGACCCATATAAGCCTGCAGGGCCTGATAAGATGGAACCGTTTTATTTAAAGTTTGCATCTGATTTTATTGCTGAACCATAGACTTATTTATTGAATCTTTCTATTTTCCATTGTGAAATCCCTAAGATTTAGAAATCTGCTTTTGTTTCTCCTCTTTTTAAAGGGGGGGACCCTTTGCAGTTGAACAATTATAGACCAATATCTAAACTATGTGTTTTATCCAAGCTTTTGGAGAAATTATTAAATGAACAATTAAAATCTTTTCTGGAAATAAATAATATTCTTTCTCCTTTTCAATCTGGATTTAGAAAGCAGAATATTACTGTCACTGCTGCTTTGAAAGTGTTTAGTAACATTATTGATGCCTTAGATTGCAAAAAAAATTGTTCAGCTCTTTTTCTTGACTTATCAAAGGCTTTTGACACAGTTGATCATGGCTTACTCCTAAATAGACTCTCCATTGTTGGTCTCTCTGAAAATGCCATTAAATGGTTTGTCAAATATCTTCAGGGCGAACACAGTGTGTGCTTTTAAAAGACTGTACTTCATCTATTTTGTCACTTTCCAAAGATGTCCCTCAGGGGTCTGTTCTAGGACCTATTTTATTTTCCTTGCATATAAATAATTTATGCGATAACATTCAAAATGCAAAGTTCCATCTGTATGCAGGCAACACTGCTATTTACTGCTGCACTCCATCAGCTTCACAAGCACTTCATTATTTATAGTCAGCGTTTGATATTGTTCAGTTCCGTTTATGTCAGCTTACGCTGGTTTTAAACACAGATAAAACTAGTTTAATGATTTTTTCAAATTCTAAATTTGTATCAAGTAATCTTCCTGACATTATATCCTTCCAGGGAACAAAAATTGAATATGCTGTATAAATACCTGGGCATCCTATTTGATAGTCAGTTAACTTTTAAGCTACATATTGATCAATTAATTTCAAAACTTAAGCTCAATTTGCGATTTTACTACAGAAATAGATCTTTATTTTATTTTAAAGCAAGGAAATATTTGGTATCTGCTACCTTCTTACCACTTTTGGATTATGGTGATCTGCTGTATATGAATGCCCCAGGATATTATCTAAAAAAAACGTTTCATAGTGTTTTACGTTTTATTACTGGTTGTAGTTATCAAACACATCATTGTACTTTATATGAGAAGGCTGAGTTACCATCGTTGTATACCCGAAGAAGTTTTAATTGGTATTGTTTTTGTTTATAAGACTATTTGTGGTCTAACTCGGTCTCTGAGTTTTTCTAAATCAAAGGTACGCTACAAACTACACTCAAACGATCTGTTATATTTTAAAGTCCCTTTGGTTCGAACAGAGCTAGGGAAAAAGGGTTTTGGATATAATGCTACTTTGGCATGGAATAATCTACAAAGCATTCTAAAGCTGAACGTGTTTCCATCATTACATGAATTTAAGCTACTTTTAACAAGCTGTGTATTTTATCCTTTGGTGAACTGTTGTTGTGATTTTTGATTTGTGTTTTGTATTATGATGTAAACTTGTACATACTATGTTATTTGTTGCTGCTTTCTTGGCCAGGTCACTCTTGCAAAAGAGATTTTAATCTCAATGAGTTTTTAGCCTGGTTAAATAAAGAAATGAATGAAAAATGTGCGATCAGTGAGCATGAAGAGAGAGAATGCATTATGAAGATTAGAAGATTGCTTTTGTCTTACACTGACCTCTAACTGTTACATTTAGAGACTAGTTGACAGTTTATGAAGGTACAAGTTTTGATCAATCCCAATTTGAATACTACCCTTATGTTTTTAAAATACTCCCTTTTCTTTTACAGCAAGTCATCACATATGTCAAGCCTCTGTTGCTTTACTCTAATCCTGGACAGCCTGGGCAGAGTGGGAACGCTGGCATACTTTGGGATTGTGTTATATTATAGAACATGTCTACAGCTAAGCCACAGGGACTAAACCTAACAGCTGCTCCAACATACAACAAAGTACAAGGTTAAAATTTGTAGATAGACAATTAATATATTAAGAATCAATATAATAATATTCATCAATATAATAATATTCATTAAAATTAATTTAATTTTAACAATATATTTTTTAACTAAAAAAATATATATAACAAAAACTTTTCCTGAAATTTTCTAGCACATTTTTTACTCACTTATTATAGCTTCAGACCCTCTAAAGTAACCCAAGGCTTCTTTTTGTCCTGCTGAAGTGGGTTCAAACCTCAACCACATCTTCAACTGCTGCACCACACCACATTCTCTAATTCTTCTTTCTTTTATCACTTTCTAAAAATATCTAAATGGCCTTCATTCTACATATTTTCTTTGCTTTTAACAGTGCTAAAGATCTTGGCACTAAATTCCCAAAGAGATTTTTAAAAAATTCAATAAATTAATAAAACAGCAAAACCCCTTTTCCCAGCAGTGCAGATCTACTCAACTCTGTGTATTTCAGTATTCTAAATACCCTGCAGCAAGCATTGGACTGTAATTAGAAGTTATATAAACTGGGTGTTGATGCTGAATGGGAGAGGCAGTATGATAGCCCCTACTGAAACACTGAGGTGTCCGTCCCCACCCAGACATTATAAATATGTGTTGATATAAACTGCAGAGTTCAAATTCATTTGAAAATTGGTAGAAAGAAATAGCTGAGTATGCCCACTGATCCAAGGAAAACTGGCTAGATGAGTGTATGCTACAATTGTAGATACAGACAGAAAGAGAGAGAGAATGAGACAGTTTGAAGGTGGTGTGTGAAATATATTAGTAAGCAAATATTTTAATTATCATTGTTTTAACTTTCATTAGCACATCTTTTAGAGACAAGTTTTGCTTTTTCCATGTCTAAAAAAGTTAAACTAGACTAAGTACTGAACAGACACAATTATGGTAAGATATGGAGATGATGGGATAGGATGCATGTGCTAATTCATCCAAAAAATAGTTACTGGAAAAAAAAATAAATGGAAAGAAACAGAGATAAAGAAGTGAAAGTGGCAGGAAGTTTGACAGCCGAACAGAAAGAGGACATTCATTTGTGGCTTTATCAGTGAAGACACATACATTCTCTGCTTTCATTCTGGAATTCCTCAGGCCTGTTTGGGCCTTTCACTGGAGATTTTATAGGAAACCAAACAATAGCAGAGCTCAATAAATAACTTCCTAATTACAGTGGGTGGGGTCAACACAGTCTAATAGCATTCAAGTGTATATCAGTAAGTAATGACAAGGAGAGCTGGGAGAATATGTTGAAAATCTCTGGCTCAGATCACAGCATCTGAAAATCCAGCCCAAATCTGTGAGCACGAGTGAAAAGTGTCATACAAGGACAAACAATTCTATACAATAAGAAACTACTTAACCAGCAGCAATGGAAAGGAATAGAAGATGAAATAGAGATTAAAAAGCATGTTGACAACAAATGCAATATTGGTCATGAAGTCATAAAAAGCTAACTTTAAAAAATACAGAAAAAAACTAAAAATGCCCTTAAAAATTCAACAAGTCTGGTTTTGTTTAGTCTAGAATTATGCAAATAGTGTCTTCATCTCATCTCAAAAATACTGAGTGAACCTTTAAACAAGAACATTTCTTTAATGAGTTATGACACTGATTACCTTTTTAAAGTAATAATTTAGCATCATCAGAGGCAAATTCCCAATAATTTAATCTGAAAGTAATTAAATACATCCAGTCACTAATGAGCAACAGAATCATTTCACAGACAAATTCATTCAATTTTGTTATTGAAAGCTTTGAAGCTCTAAATAAATGCAAAATATTTTCACGATGACAATATTCATTTTCTGCATGAATAAGTGTGAGGGAATCTGAGAAAATCCTCAGGAGAGAGATACATTAGAGGGAGAAGGAGAGTATGGTGTTCTGTACATGCATGCGCACAGGCAGTTCAGCCCTTTACCTCTGTTTGTTTGACCCCCGTGACCTGTTGGAGTGGTGAGAATAACCAGAGTGGATGGAATCTGTGTCCATTGTAATACTGTCCGTGCTGTGACTGGTTTAACACAGCGGAGGGAGGAATGCAGCGACAGTTAAAGTGCTGACGATGATCAGGACATACATGAAGCTGCGCAAGATGACAGGATCATTTCTAGGGGCTTTCTGTTATCAAACATTAACCTAAAAAGAGAGAAAAATAAATATTTTAATATTTAACTCCTTATACCACAATAATTTAATTTAATACAGAATTTAATTCAGGGCACAAACACAGTCTTTTAAAAAGGTTAGGGCTATCTCATGTCAGTTAGTATAAAATAACTGCAATACAGTGCAGCAGTCCAAAAAAAAGGCATATGTTCAATTCCCAGGGAAAGCAAGAACTGATCAAATGTGTACCTTGAATGTAATGTAAGCAGAGGCGGACAAAGTACTCAACTCCATTACTTGAGTGAAAGTACAGATACTAAGTCGCTTCGGATAAAGCATCTACCAAATGCATAAATGTATACATATTTCTCCAATACGCTGACAACAAATGCAGGAACAGCATCAAGAGATCACTGCAGCAATGTCTAAAGCACTGTAAAGCACCTCTGCTGGCAAGATCAATCTGCATCTGTTTCAGTACTACTTAACTTTAGCCAGTACAGAAGCTAAAGTAATAAATATATTTTGCTTGCCTTCCGCTTCCTCCTTCCTAGTTGGAATATATCTGCTGGTGATAATTTATTAAAGAACGGAAGGTAGGATCCTTAGGATATCAACTGTACTTCATTAGTACTCAGCTATTCCTTTTCATTACAATGCCGATAGAGCCCTCTCACTTGAGCTGTTGTGGAACCTATTTTTCTTAGCTTTTTTGGCCCCCAGGTCTCCACCTTCAGATAATTCTGACTGCTCAGTTTCATGGTGTCACTTTAAATTTGATCTTTCAAATTACATATGCACTTTCACTAGTCGACTTCAATGCTCTGCCATGACGCTTTAAGCTTGACGTGGACTAGTCGCTGGTCCAATAGAGGGTTCAACAGGATAAGAAATATTTGAAAGGCTTCCACATTTACGCTCCGTTTCCAAACAGTTCAAATGACAAATAAATGCATACTCTGAAAGCGCTCCACAAGACGTGTGATTATATTACTGGATGCTCGAAATTGAACAGGAGAATGCACGTTTTAAACAACTTGTACAGGTAAGTTAATCGCCATTCTAATCTAATGCGCTGCTGCACTGTAACGTACACACATAGGCTACAGACAGTAGCGCGTACATTACGCTATTGTCAACACTGTTCTGTGATTTCTCAATAAAATAGCTTAGAAACTGAAAAGTTCAAGCATATTTTTCTTAATAACTAAATTCCACAGCTTCACTATTAGTAGGGAGACGCTGCCATGTATAATTAATTCACACACGCAATCGCTCTCACTAAGGCATTCATATGAATTGATTTAGAATGAGTAGAAATCTGTGAGAAATGTAACGACTCAAAGACAAAAGAACTAATAAAAAAAAAGCTGTTATAGGAGCAACAGCCATGTGGGCAGCGCTGCTCGTTCAACCCCTAACACACACACACACACATATAATATATATATATATATATATATATATATATATAAACTTGTTTTGGTCATATTTACTATTAAATGGTTAGTTCACCCCAAAATGAAAATTATGTAATTAATTACTCACCCTCATGTCATACCAAACCCATAATACCTCTGTTCATCTTCAGAACACAAATTAAGATATTTTTGATGGAATCTGAGAACTCTCTGACCCTCCACAGACGGCAATGCAACTGAAATGTTCCCAGACAGAAACGTAGCAAGGACATCGGTAAAACAGTCCATGTGACATCAGTGGCTCAACTTCAATTTTACGAAGCTACGAGAATACTTTTTGTGTGCAAAGAAAACAAAAATGACGACTTTATTCAACTATTCTTCTCCCCCGAGTTACTGTCTTCCGCCATTTTGGAGAGTATCTCAACGCATACGCACACTTTCCCCTGAGCATAAACAACACTGATTACGCAGATTACGTTCATGCGCGCGCTTTCACCCCTAACATAAACAATGCCGATTACGTTCTTGGGTACTCTCCAAAATGGCAGAAGACATAACTCGGGGAGAAGAATTGGTAAATAAATTGTTATTTTTGTTTTCTTTGCGCACAAAAAGTATTCTCGTAGCTTCGCAAAATTGAAGTTGAACCACTGATGTCACATGGACTGTTTTACTGATGTCCTTACTACAAAGCACATCCCTCCATAATAAAAAGTGCCTCACACAGCTCCGGGGGCAGAACAAAGGCTTCCTGTAGCGAATCAAAGCATTTTTGTAAGAAAAAATATCCATATTCAAAACGTAATAATCACTTTAATCTAGCGTGCGCCAACAGTTGTATAAACGCAGAGATTTTATTCATTATATTTAACTAATATACTTTACATGTAATAGTAAAATTGTTTAAAAACATAAACAAATATATACTTTTTTACATTTTCATTATTATATAATTTCTCTCTATATATAATACAATTGTAAAATAGGTATAATGTAAAAATGTGTATAAAATGATGTCTTCATGTCATTTTTAAGTCACGTAAAATGTTACAAATATTATGGATAATTGTATACATATACTTTTCTGCCTTTTATATACATTTATTATTTATATATGAATATGTACTAATGTTATTGCTAAGCTAATCTTAAATTTAGTATTGCACTGTTCAAATAATATTCTAAATAACTGAAGATATAGTGCTCATATATGGGGGACACAGGTTTGATTCTAGCCTGCAATATATCCTAATGCCATTTCTTGCTTTTCTTAATAATTTCCTGATATAATTTTTATTTATGTCAAGTAAAAATGCAAACCTCCCAAGATAAATCAATAAATATTACACAATTATCAACGTCCCTTGCCGTGTCTTCTCCAAGACTACTACAACATTTCCAAAGAAGTTTTTCGAATCACGAATATGTAAACAGCATGTTTGTTTGTGTGTGTGTGTGTGTGTGTGTGTGTGTGTGTGTATTATTCCAAAATGGACAGCGAAAGAGAGAATGACAGTGAGTTACAGTAGCGCAACAGAAAAATTGCATTACAGAGCCTCGCTCTCTTTAATCTGGGCATTGAGGCCTGATGGAAATTAAACAATTGTATCAGAAACATTGGTAGCTCTATATTTAGCCAGGACAATCCAGCCCCATACAGAACACTATCCTGAACTCTCTCTCTCTATCTCCAGCTGTGCAGTGGAGTGAAGTCCATCTCTAAGGAGCAGATGTGGATAAAACACCATACACACCCACAAACAGGAATAGTACTCAAAAACATCACAAATGCTGCTGTCAAAAAAAAAAAAAAAAAATTCATAGTGTGGTATTTACTAGACGGGCTTTCATTACTTAAGCGTTTCATTCATGTGCTTGAGAAACATGCAGCTCTCATGCTTGCAACCTCAGCTACACGGCACTCTTGAAGTATTTCAAGTATTTGGATGATTATATTGTCAGTCTTGACATGCAATGCAGTATTATTTTGTCTATAGAAACACTGCACTTATCACTTCTAGATCTTGAAAAGCACATGCAAATACACATATTTTGTGTATTGTCCAGATTGCTGCCAACAAAACAGTCTGAAGCTTGTAACGGCCATTCAGAGTGATAAACAGTTTATAACCTCAAACTGTTCATATAACTGCCTGAAAGGCACTGACGCCCATTATTTTTCCCATCGCTCTACATCTCTTCATCTCACAATAAAAACACCACAAGCTTATTTGGTTAGCATAGTGATTGCAGCCAGGGCCAGCACATGAGCTGACACATTTTACAGCAAGGCCTCCCAGCAGTTTAACTGTAATAATTAAATTTGTTAACAATCCCTTCCCTGGGTGCTGCTTGAGGAAGCCTAAGTCAAGGAATACTAGTGTTACTATACTAAGATCCTAAGTGTTGAAATGTCAACATATGTTGTGATAGACAGTATAAGATACTATGAAATTAAAACAAAAAATGTGTGTTATAGTTTCTGAATGTCTCACCACTTCCAGTGTTTTCAGGCTCCGTGCCCTTTTGTGTTCTTCCTTGGAATGTTTTTTTTAAACAATGATATGGGGTTGTAAAAATTTAAGCAAAAATAAAACACTGAAGTATTAAACATTAAACATAAGAAATGATCCCATTTTCAAGACATGCATGGTGTGTTGAATGTGTGTGTAGCAATAGAAAGACCGTTTATAAATACATTACAGGTACCAAAATAACAATGTGGGAGCCTTGTTCCTTCACGGTGTTCTTGAGATAAAGTTTAGTGTTATTTTAGCGCAAGAGAGAGTAAAACTTTTAGATAGGCCAATGCATAATTCATGTGCCGTCAGATATAAAATGCAAGAGTTGTACTGACAGATTAAAAGCCAGCGTTTGCAAGTCGGTTGTTTTCTGATGTGCAGAAGACATAAAATGTCTGCTTTACAAGAAAGACTGTCTCATTATTTATTTCTAGGGAGGAGAAACACACGCTTCCAATGTTTATCAGTCAAAACCACACAGCATACAACACATAGCTGAGGTGCACATGCTCTGGTAAAATACCTGTTTGCTAATGTGTTACTAACACAATTTTAAGTTTTTTTTTTTTTTTTCACAATTCAGTCTTCCCTGAAAAGCATGGCATCTTACAGAGAATCCAACAGCATAATATGGCATACATTAGCTGGCAGTAGTTTCCTATGGACCAAGAAGCACAAGAAAGTCCATGTGAACAGTGATGGACACAATCTCATTCATGTTGTACAAGCCAACAGAAGGATCATATTATTGTAAAATGTGGTCCTTAACAATTCACAGCAAGTTAGGGCACAGGTATGTTAAGAAACGGTAAGTGTATGTCCAATAAAATTAATTCACCCCAGCCGGCGATTTCGACGAAGGAGTGTCCGGAAGAACATGTGACGACTCCAGGCTGGACTCCGCTTCCTCCACGGTGAAAGCCGATCCGGCGATCCACAGCGCAAAGTTGTAGTATTTCCTCAGCGACCAGCACGGATCAGCTCCAGGCATGACGAAGCAGATATCGTCCTCTTTTGGAAGACCAAACAAAGTAGTTTCGCTTTTACAACGAAGCACACAGTGTCTTTACGACATTGCGGCGGAAACAACAATACTACAGCGAGAATAAAAGTTACGCCTTCTTTCTTTGCGTGAACATTTGGGCGGCGTTATGCAAATCTTCCCACATCGTGACGTAGACATGTGGGGGCGTGTTAGAATGAGCTGTTTTAGGTAGGCGTGGCTGACTCTGAACTTTTATAAAGAATATCTCTTTGGATTTGAGACTTTAGTCTTTGCAACTTTACAGATCTTCTTTATGCACCAAGAGCTTGTAACACTCCAAAGAGAAAGGAAAAATTGAAATCGCATTATATGACCCCTTTAAATGTTCTATGTCAGTGAATTCCTTTGCTCTGCTGCTTCGAGAACTGAATCATTCAAACGAACCGGCTCAATAGAATGATTCTATTGCGAATCGGACATCTAGGCATGGAGACACCACCCAAGTCAATGGAATGCCAACCATGTGCTTTAAAGATTTAAATACCTCCGATAAACACATCAGCAAACAAATAAACATGCACTCTACGTGGTGCGCGCGTGATCCACCCAGCAGCATTTCTGAAGGCGACTCGATGTCACAAGACACGAGATTAATAAGCATAAGGAGTCATCCCATTGCACATTAACAAAATGTTTTTTTTAATTATTATTAAAGGAAATATTACAGAAAATGTATCTAAACGTTGTGTTATTTGTATTACAATATTATTGCATTATAAATGACGGCTTAATCTTTGACGTCTCGTTAGGAAGCATCATGATATTCGTTTTAACCCTGTCATAAGAACTAATCAATACTCTATGAGCTACTATGACTTTAATCTGTCATTTTACAGACAGCAGCTGGGCGTGAGAACTTTAACAACATGCATCCCAGGGTCTTTCAATGCAAAAGGTGTTCACTTGTTTTTAGATAAATGCAGTGAGCACAAAAGAATAGACAATAGGTACAGAAGAAACTTACCCAGCGGCTACGCCAACACCCCCGATAAAATGATCTGATGATCAATACTGTAACCAGATTTACCGACTATCAGGCATTGCGACCAATCTGACGGCAGTAACGGTAGTATCCTTTACAGGCGGAGCACACAGGAGATGCACTTTGACAGAGGAGGTGCGGGACCGACTGAGGCTCATTACAATGAGCTGCGCTAGGGGGAGTTGTCGCCTCCAATTAGACGTGTGTGTGTGTGTGTGTGTGTGTGTGTGTGTGTGTGTGTGTGTGTGTGTGTGTGTGAGTGAGTGAATGTGAATGTTGTAAATCTGTACGTGTTATTAACACTTTGGCAATATAAAAAAACCTTTCACCATGCAAATAAAGCTATTCGAATCTGAATCACTAGTTGCTAACTAATTTATGCATTAGAGGGGATTTTTCCTGATTTCAGTATAGGCTATTTTTCGATCCCCAAGAGCAACCCATGATAGGCTACATATGCTGTTTAGGTGGAGACAAGTTACTGTCTTTAAGTGTGAGGAATTGAATCATTCATTCAAGTCCTTCATTCAAACACACATCCTAATTCAGAAACACATCAAGTGACCTTAGTTTTGAGTGAGTCGGTGGATCATGCACTGAACCGATTAGTTCAAAAACAGTGATTCATTTAGGAACTATAGCTACTTATGTGTTGCTCTGAGACATGTGGTTGAATTTGATTATTCTGCTTGGCTTCATTTGGATCTACTTTGTCTGCGCGACTAAATTAACGAAGTAACTGTACGTTCACACACAGTTCGGTTATTTACGGTCGTGACAACCGCATTCTGTAACCGAACTCACAGCCGTAAATTTTCAGGACTCACAACCGCATTCTTGGGACACACGCGCTGTGTGAACGGAACCGGACTGGACAACTAGTTGTCTGTCACGTCATACAGTGCGAGAGAGAGCCCAGTTTTATGGACGTCGCCATCTTTGATATTACTTTGGTCACTGTTGTTATGGTTACTGATAAGGAATATGGGCTTGACTCCCGTTGCACGTTCATACCAAGCGGCAACCTTTCGCTCTCTCTCATGAAACCAACACGGAAGTGACTAAAACTGCAATTCATCGACTGGCCGCTAGAGGCTGGCTCCAAAAGGGAGTCAGTCCCATAGACTCCCCATGTTAAAATGCTCAACTTTATAGCAGAAATTTTTTTTTACAGCCTGGTACAAAAAGTGGTTTTGGTTCATATAGCTAATTTTGCCCTTCATGACAACTGTGAGGGGGGTGAATTTTTTTATAACTCATCCGTTTAAATTATATTAAGCCTTAAAGTTCTGCATAATTAAGGGCGTGGCCACTTGAGTGACAGGTGGATTGCCGCTGCTGTCACCGCCGTCGAGCTAGGTGGGCGTGGTTTCAGCAACCAGCTCCCCGCCTCTTTGCCCATCTTCGATTATCCAGGAGTGATGCGCTGTGACGCACTGCCAAGATTGTGACGCGTTCTTTAAAAACGCTCTTCAGAAACCTACGGGTGACATCACAGACACTACGTCCATGTTTTTATACAGTCTATGGTTCATACAGACAGTATTCTAAACACAACTAAGCTGCTGTGTGAACGGGACATTTCGAGACTTACACCTGTAAAGAAAATGCAGTTGTCAATCCCAAAAACTGACAGTGGGAACGTAGCCTTTAAACGCTGCTTTATCAGACATTACATGCAAGATGAAAGGAAAATGACATTCAATTTTCTGAAGACAGTCGGTTTCCTTCATAAATACAGTGATTTAAAAACACCCACACTCAATGTATGTCAAACACGGGTGTGCCTCACATGTCCTGAAAAGTGAAGTTGCGGGCTCTTTGATCGTCCCCTGGTGGCTGGCTGCAGTACAGGTCATAAACCCCGCCCTCCATGTAAACGAATGGGACTTGAGTCAAAATAAAAAAAAGTGTATTACACTTCCAATACAATTTTCCGAAAGATGGTTTAAATAATTTAGGGTAGTTGTTATCACGCTGATATATGTTAAATTGTTCGTTTTTTGTGATAAGTTTGATTTTAGCTAGTAATTTGATGCTATAAAAACGGGGCGTGTCATTATGGTTGATTGGGTCTGCGGGAGTTTGGGCAGGAGTTTGATACCGCGGCTCCACCTCACGACACTACTGCGCAGACTCTGGCTCCAAATGACGTCATTTACTCAAGATGTCAGCGGCCATACTGAGATGCTTTGGCTTCACTTTTCTATAGTGGAAGGAAGTGGAGACACATCGGCCATCTTTTTTACAGTCTATGGTCAAACACTGTAGTCTCATAACTGAAGTATAAATTCTGCAGATTACATCAATGTCCAGTATTGTACTGTCAGCAGTTTATTATTAAAAAAAATTCATAATTGTAACATACATATTTACATACAGCCCCACCCCCCAACCATTCGAATTTCTGTAGGTGGGAATTATTTGAATGATATTCTAATGGACCGCTTTGTGACATCACAAAACCCGGAAAACAATGCTGTAGTCCAAACGAGCTGTTCGTTGTAGTTCTTGAAAAGGGGTCTTGAAATTTTTTTTAAAGGGGTCATATGATGCGATTTCAATTTTTCCTTTCTCTTTGGAGTGTTACAAGCTCTTGGTGCATAAAGAAGATCTGTAAAGTTGCAAAGACTAAAGTCTCAAATCCAAAGAGATATTCTTCATTAAAGTTAAGAGTCAACCACACCTACCTAAAATGGCTCGTTCTAACACACCCCCACATGTCTACGTCACGATGTGGGAAGATTTGCATAATGCCACCCAAATGTTCATGCTGTAGTATTGTTGCTGCCGCCATGTCGTGAAGGCGCTGTGTGTTTCATTGTGAAAGCGAAACTACTTTGTTTAGCCTTCCAAAAGAGGACGATATCCGCTTCTTCCCTAGAGCTGATCCGTGCTGGTCTCTAAGGAAATATATCAACTTCGCACTGTGGATCGCCAGATCGGCTTTCACCATGGATGATGCGCTGTGACGCACTGCCAAGATTGTGACGCGTTCTTTAAAAACGCTCTTCAGAAACCTACGGGTGACATCACAGACACTACGTCCATGTTTTTATACAGTCTATGGTTCATACAGACAGTATTCTAAACACAACTAAGCTGCTGTGTGAACGGGACATTTCGAGACTTACACCTGTAAAGAAAATGCAGTTGTCAATCCCAAAAACTGACAGTGTGAACGTAGCCTTTAAACGCTGCTTTATCAGACATTACATGCAAGATGAAAGGAAAATGACATTCAATTTTCTGAAGACAGTCGGTTTCCTTCATAAATACAGTGATTTAAAAACACCCACACTCAATGTATGTCAAACACGGGTGTGCCTCACATGTCCTGAAAAGTGAAGTTGCGGGCTCTTTGATCGTCCCCTGGTGGCTGGCTGCAGTACAGGTCATAAACCCCGCCCTCCATGTAAACGAATGGGACTTGAGTCAAAATAAAAAAAAGTGTATTACACTTCCAATACAATTTTCCGAAAGATGGTTTAAATAATTTAGGGTAGTTGTTATCACGCTGATATATGTTAAATTGTTCGTTTTTTGTGATAAGTTTGATTTTAGCTAGTAATTTGATGCTATAAAAACGGGGCGTGTCATTATGGTTGATTGGGTCTGCGGGAGTTTGGGCAGGAGTTTGATACCGCGGCTCCACCTCACGACACTACTGCGCAGACTCTGGCTCCAAATGACGTCATTTACTCAAGATGTCAGCGGCCATACTGAGATGCTTTGGCTTCACTTTTCTATAGTGGAAGGAAGTGGAGACACATCGGCCATCTTTTTTACAGTCTATGGTCAAACACTGTAGTCTCATAACTGAAGTATAAATTCTGCAGATTACATCAATGTCCAGTATTGTACTGTCAGCAGTTTATTATTAAAAAAAATTCATAATTGTAACATACATATTTACATACAGCCCCACCCCCCAACCATTCGAATTTCTGTAGGTGGGAATTATTTGAATGATATTCTAATGGACCGCTTTGTGACATCACAAAACCCGGAAAACAATGCTGTAGTCCAAACGAGCTGTTCGTTGTAGTTCTTGAAAAGGGGTCTTGAAATTTTTTTTAAAGGGGTCATATGATGCGATTTCAATTTTTCCTTTCTCTTTGGAGTGTTACAAGCTCTTGGTGCATAAAGAAGATCTGTAAAGTTGCAAAGACTAAAGTCTCAAATCCAAAGAGATATTCTTCATTAAAGTTAAGAGTCAACCACACCTACCTAAAATGGCTCGTTCTAACACACCCCCACATGTCTACGTCACGATGTGGGAAGATTTGCATAATGCCACCCAAATGTTCATGCTGTAGTATTGTTGCTGCCGCCATGTCGTGAAGGCGCTGTGTGTTTCATTGTGAAAGCGAAACTACTTTGTTTAGCCTTCCAAAAGAGGACGATATCCGCTTCTTCCCTAGAGCTGATCCGTGCTGGTCTCTAAGGAAATATATCAACTTCGCACTGTGGATCGCCAGATCGGCTTTCACCATGGACAAAACAGAGTCCAGCCCGGGGTCGTCACATGTGGTTGCCGCAAGCCCACCGGCCGCTCCTTCGTCGAATCCGCTGGCCGCCGCTCACTCAAGCTGGCCGCCGCTGACTCAAGGCCACAGTGTATGACTCTGTGTTTCGTTGTGAAAGCGAAACTACTTTGTTTGGCCTTCCAAAAGAGGACAAGACTAGAAATCAGTGGTTAAGTTGCATTTACAACACTATTCCAGAACAGTTCAACCCAAATATTCAGATGTGTCCAGCACATTTTATGAAGGACTGTTCCTGATCCTGGTAGACTACAATGTTCTGTTCTGACTCACAGACTGTAAGTACGGTTTTTTATATATATAAAGAATTTGCCACTGATGACGCGAGTTTTGAGCAGTGTAGAGTAGTGCTTGTTGTTTGTCATTTCTCCGATCACAAATGCAGACATTTGACACATATGTATTTGCATAATTTGCATAATTATGTCCCCACTGGATGCAACAAATGCCTCGGTTTATAATGGGTTTTAATGTTTTTGTCTCGTCGCTCCGGCCTGACAGGGCATCACAGTATGGTAGGGGCCTATCATTTCCATCA